GAATTGTAACATAGAAATATTTAGGCCTAATCATCCACGTGGTCGTAATTTCTTCGCTACGCTCAAGTATTACAAAGTACATATTCTGTAACCACGAGGCTAGGCTCCCAACGTACGTATCTTAAATTGGTCTCTCTGGTCTCAACGTAGTATATTAATCGATACTCTGAACATCGCACTAGGTCATTTCTTTATTAACTCGCAATCTACGTTATGGAACATTTTCTAAATTCTCGTGCTACGCCAATAAACGCCTTTAACCGCTACGTTTAACCGAAAACATTGTACTCCTGCCTATACATAAATGAAATACATCTCGACAAAAGATATTTTATTAAATACTCTGTAACATCAAATGAGACGCGTAACAAATATATGCACTGGAGTATCGGTCAGCGGTTAAAAGTTATTTATTTAAGCTTCGTTCAGTCTCGTCGCGGTGCGTAGAAGTTACCTATATCAACGTGTCTTCGTCCTGATTCGGGAACACCATCAGCAACGAATGTTGCGAGCTCGATCTTTGACTGACAGTCAATAGCGCCGTTTTCTCTGCACCGCTTCCATTGATCGAGCAGTCCGGCGAGCTTCCCTCGAAAACGTGAGTCGTCGTGCTACTGGTCGACGGTATGTCGTTCAGATCCGGCGAGGCTAATGGCGGCGCGTGAATCTGACGCGTGTTATTGTTACCGCCGTCCAAAGACACCAGTTGCATGCTGTAGGACTCGCGATAGCCGGACGTGCTGGACGTATCGTCGTCCCAAGAGACGTCCGACGTCTGCAGGTGAAGATGGTGATGGTGGTGGTAGTGATGGTAATGGTGGTGATGGACGTTCGCGTGCATTTGTTCGTTCGGTAGGCTGCCGCCCTTCTCGCAGTCAGACTGACGAATCGACGAGCTCCTCCGCGAACGAATCGATGATGAATCCGAGGCGATGCTAAAGGCCGATGATTCCAATGGTACGGGAGTCGGTGGTGTAAGCACGGCCGGCTGTTGGCTCGTCTGTGGCTGCGGCGAGATATTACTTGGTTCTGATCTCGACTGCGCTGTCTGAAACAAATATAATGAATAAAAATATTATATAAAATAAAAAGAAGATATTTTATTTCTGGTCCGGCAATTTGATATTAATAAATGTGCATTTACTTCTGCGGGAGTTCTTCGACTCTTTCGCAGCCGCAAAGTTTTCTTGCTTTGACCCATAGAGCGTTGTAACCGAGGTTTGTCTGGCCGGCATTCGCCTGAACTGTCCTCGTTTGGACTGGTTGGGCTGAGCTGACTCGTCACGGTTTCCCCTAACGAATTCAGTCCCGATTAATCGCCCCACGCCGTCGAATGCTACCCTCTATTCTACAATCTATCCATGCTGCTCCTTCAGAACTACTAATCGCAACCCGGACGTGTTCCCCGAAACGCCACCGACACCGACAATCGTGTTTCGTGACATGTAAGTTTATCTTAAACATCGCACTATGTCTACTGTGAACAGACACGTGAAACAGTTAAACTTTCATCTAATTAATCAGAGTGTAAACGACAGGATCAATTTTATTTACAATTTCGCATAGTATGTGAGATAATTTTTTGTAGAAGTATTAAGTCAAGTAATTTGATACAGTGTCATGATCAAGTATTGATTAATATTCGGTCTATTGTTAATAGTAATTTGGTTGTTAGCTTGGAACGACTGTAGAAAAGTGAGTATTATATTAATAAAATATAGGGAAACAATATTAATAGAATATACAATGTGTTTTAAATAGTCCTCTGACGCACGCATTGTCAGAGATAACAAATACGATTGAAACGATTCATACTCAGGACGTGTGTGTATCGCATAAGTTAATTGGTAAAAATATCGTGTAAATGAAAATGGAACAGAATGTGACACACGGTAACGGAAACGTAAGCATGCTAATGGCTTGCGCATGTATTCGACGGACAATTAATATTTAATTAAATATAATCTATGCGATGTTATTTACAACAAACGTAGATACACCGGATTGAGACTATAAGTAAATTATAGGGGCACGAAATTTACCTGATGAGTGCCTAAACTCTACGGAAGAGAGAAAGCGCAGTTTTGGCGCCTTTTGATGAGTTAATATAGGATGAGGCTTTACATGGTTACGTTCATCGCTAGTAGTAGAAGATGGTTGGGATTTATCTGAAACATGCCACATTTAACGTCCAAAATGAAAGGGGTAAGACGAGACATGGGGTTCAGGCCAGGTGAACGGTGTCATCGTTACGTTGCTATTATATTCGATAATCGTCATGGTACCTACTTCCGCAGTCTAAAATTTTATTCGGTTAAAGAGGAGATCTGAAACGAATGAAGTGATTATGCGTCCTTCTTATGACTCTTCACGAGGTTGCTTCGATTATGGAAGACCTGTACGAACATTTAAGCGAGACAAAACGCGTCAATGAAAAATTAATGCGATGAGACTGTGTTGAGTGCTCGGGCACGCTTGTTGAGTAAATCTGTGTCTGTTATGTATGGAAGAATCTGTTTTCGATTACGGACATAATTAAAAATGAAATTTAAGAAGATAGAGAGAGAAAAAGAGACAGAGTGAGAGACAGACAGAGAGAGAGAGTCGAAGCAACTACGCTGTGATAAAGTATAACTACTCTAACAGTGAGCAGGGTACCAACTGTTGGACATTACCATTGTCTAAATACTGCTATACAATATAATGTATATATATATATATATGTTATTACGAATGTATACAGAACGTGAAGGAACAGTGACAATAATAACGGAATAATCTAATAGGATGTTACACCGTGAAAATGAGATTTCGCATCTGATTTGCTTTCTTCAACAATCGTTTCAACATACAATGAGAAACGCAAAATCAGAGGGAACCAGTTGTTTTTTTTCAACGTGCATACGTGTGAATGTATACGGGGGACTCGTAGTTATAAATCTCTGTTCACGGAAATGATTACACGAGAAAAAACAGTAGCAACAAATGTGACCAGAAGAGAGGGACATCGAGTGGGAGGAAAGAGTGAATAAAGATCGGACGAGAATTACGAAACGTAGAGAAGCGTGAATACGGGAACACACCAGCAGTTTATCAATAGAGGCTGTTTATCAGAATTTGCTATTTTAGAGTGTGCTTACCTCCGTCCCCTAGCTAGCAATGGAAGCAACGGAATGATCAATAATAAGGCTGAACAGGGATAAACAATGGGAGAAATGATAAAGCAAAATCGTTGAGCAATGAGAACCGAGTTGTTGGACTGCTACGTATTTGGTAATAAAGTTCGATCGGGGCGTGAACGGGAAAGAAAATTTGCAAATCCAGAGAGTTCGTCGCAAGCCTCACTAGCAGGGAAGTGAAATGGAATGCGTCGCGGCGTCGTTTTAAAAAGCGAACGGAAGGAGGTGTGTCGCAAGAGCTTCGCAGATTTCGTCGCAGTGCCCTATAGACAATGGCTCGATCCAACTGTGGTATCAAACGTCGTCGCTTGATCGCTCAGTAGAACAGCGAAACATTTATGAGAGGCTTGCAGTCGCACCGTTAAATATGTATCTTTAACGTCAGAATCTTTCTTTCTTTGCTAAATGTTTTTCGACAGAGATCGAATACCTGTTGATTGTTGCTGCTGTTGCTGCTCGGCCAGCGGCTGTTCGCTGATGCCAGCCTCGCTGGCCTCGCGAAGAGTGGAGGAACCACCGCTCGTGCTCGATCCTAAGTAACAACAATGAACAGAGAAAGCATCTTGTGATCTCTACTCATCGTTAATTAAATTCGACAGTAATAAATAATTATTGTTGCACGGTGTATTTAAAAATGAATCGTACCGCGTGCAGTCTGAGTACCGTTTGGCGGTGCCGATATTTGACTCGGCTGCGATGTCTTAAGAGTGCTACTCGAATTCGACTGGTGATTCACGTGACTCCTTGATCCTAGATCTCCGGTTAAGAGGTCGATCAAGGATAGCCTCTGCGTGCGTGGCTGCCCATCGGTGCAATGCATGTCCACGACGCTTCTCTTTGGCTCGGGTTGCAGTTCATCTAAATAAATAATATATTACTGAAAATCATTAACACGAGGATGCGTGATACCTCAGTCTTAACGGAATTGTCTTATTCTACTTAAAATTGATTTTCAAATGATTTAGAACAGGCATGGTGGTTTAGAATCTGGGTGTCTAACCGAATTTCCGGTCCTCGATCTCCTCCTTCAAGTCCTTCAATTCGTGTATCAAATCTGTCAATAGTGTGCCGCGTGATTTCGGTACCGTTTTAGTGTCGCCAATAATTTTCGCACGTATGCTGTTCTGCATGTTCCTCTCGTGTTCCGAGATCGGCGCTTGCCCGACCTTGTGGATGATGAATGGCAGCATTTGAATGTATAAAGGGGTGCGATGAGTGACCACGAATTCTATAAAATTCCATACATAATTGGCGGCCTCGTTACGTTTATTCAATAAACGCATTGTGCGTAAGATTCTTGGCCACTCGGTTTTCAATTCCGTCTCGAAGCATATCGTCATTATTTTCAATGCTGCGAATCAAACAAAGGTTTCAATCGATACTCGTCTCGTGGTGGAACCTTTAATTGATTCGATGACCCACCTAAAAAGGCAACTTGATACAAAGTTAAAGATGTTTTCGTCGAAGTTTTCGAGTCCCTCACTACGAACGTTAAACTACCCGCTCTCATATCTGTTGCTGTCTTCAAATTCTGCGTGGTAACCGGTATCGGTTTAGAAGTCAATGGCCATAACGTGTTCAGTACAGCACTTAAAGCAAAATTAATATCCGACTGTCTCAGCTTCGGCACATCTAAAAATACCATTTCGAAACTCTTGTCAGTATTAGATTGGTGCAATAATAATTGGCATTCTTAGTGCGTTTGCTATATCTTTTAAAATATGAAATCTAGTACGAATTTATTTATACATTACTAAGAAATTGATAACAAAAGAGAAAATAAAAACATTTCAGTATTCTCCTATTACCTTTTCTTCCGGTTCCCACACGCAGGAACAGTGGTATCAATAAATTAAGGAGTATGTTCTCGATACGAGTTTGATTCGTGAACATAGAATGCAAGTATCCTTCACCGACGGATATAACGTAAAGCGCGATTAGTCGAAGAACCGTGGAGCAGAAATGCTGCGGAGGTATTTTGCTCATTAAAGCGGCCGAGGATGCTGATGTCATATCCTCCGGTGGAGTATCTCCGATGATTAATGACTGTAAATTAATTAAAGATTTAATTTAATAAATTAAGCGATTGTTGTTAATTCTTTAATGTTCGAATTCGTAACATATAAATCATATAACTAGGCATTTGTTAATAATATTACTGATATTTGTAATAATATTTGAGAAATACTGAATTTCTTAGTAAAGTGCCAATTAACTTCAATACCTGGCAGGTAGCTAGCAGAGCTTTCAAATATTGATAATGGGCAATGTATGGGCATTTGACCAACGTCTCGTACACTCCTCTCAAAAGATCGCTCGCCGCGGTCCAATCAGTATTCCTCCTTATAGAAGCCTTTTTATAAATTTTGCTGAAAGTCTTATCGAGTCTCCTCAAAATATTTGTCAATGCAGGTTTCATATCGTCGCTAGACCAATCGCTAGAAGGTAAAATGTCGTTCATGTATCTCTTCAAGCCACGGCAGCCCATCGTGCCCGCATCGTACGGCGATATCTTCAAAAGGCTATGCGCGATATCCGCCAATCTCTATCAATTAATAAAAATAATAGCCGTCACGTTATATTCATAATTCAGTAAGGGAGTAACATGAGATTCACTCACTATGTGACATTTCGAGTCTAACAATTCAATTGTCTTCCCATCTTGGGACTTTTTGTTCAACTCCACCAACCGGACGGAGCAGCGGGCCACGAAGTCGCCTATCATGTTTAATAAAGTATCGCGCGGTCTGCGGAACTCGTTCTTATGAGAGCTTTCGAAATCGTCGTTGTCGTAAAGGTTTCGGGCTCTGCCATGTTCGATATATTTCGTCGGGTGTGTTTCATCCTCGAAATCGAAACCAGGCGAATAAGGACCCTTGCCATAATTCCGTTGGCTGGAACCCTTGTGCTCGGGACTCGATTTTTGTGGCCCGTTGTAATATCTGAGAAAAAAGGAAATCCAGAAACACTCATAATCGAAGGAACCTGTTGCAAATTAATAAACTTACTTCGTGAGTGCCTCGGAATTATTCACCAAGGTTTTCATGGCTACAGCCAATTGATTTATTATTTCTTTTTCTGTTTTCCCCTCTTTGTTGTACGATGGCGATTGTATTCGTTGCACGTAGCAAGGCAGTATCGCTTCTAATATAATCTAATTAAATTAAAAAAATATTATAATCGTTAAGTGAGGATTTAAACTAATCTTCGAATATGAATAAGAATTATCTTACAAGCATTTGTTGACCTCGAACAGAATCAGGTGCGTAAGCGATCACCATTACGCAAAGAGATATGCAGTCCAATACAGTGACCATTTCATTCTCGTCGTGATAACAGAAATCGATAGCCTTCAATGGCTTCTCTTCTTTAACTAATTCGTCTATATTCAAAGGATCCGGTGACGGAGTTTCCAGACTTAGCAATAAATTAAACAGGCACGTAGAGGGTACCTTTAGATAATTGAAATTAATTAAAATTTTATTACTCGATTATTTGAACGTTTCACGTGTGTACCTTATGAGCGTCTCCGTGAAGGCTGGTCTCGTCTGTGTCCAATATAGTAGAAACGCTTCCGAACATTTGTAGAATAAACGGTTTTCGGTTCATGAGGTAAAACTGTTTCACAGCGTATTCGACCGTGGTCGTCACCAATTTATTCGTCTGATGGGTCGAATACAATTGCAACAGCGTCGGCATAATTAGCAGATAGCCGTTCGTTGAGAAGATATTCTTGAAGTTGTGCGCTGCGTTAATATACGTGGCGACGACGTAGCGTAAGATGCAGGAGTCTTCGCTGTGAATAATCACCGCGCCGTTTAAAACGTTTAAGAAGAGATGAATGTCCCCCGAGTAGGCAAAATTCCCGGCCATCGCCTCGAACATACGAGCAATCAGTCTGACCCACATAAACTTGTGCATCACGTCCAAACCAAGCAATTAGAACGGAATTTTTATCCATTAGCATCGCCGCTTTAAAGACACTTACCCTACCAATTTCACCACCCTTGTATAAATCCAAGTCCGCCTCTAGTGCTCTTCTCGGGAAAGAGGGTAGCTTCATTAGTTCCTCGTGGAGAAAAACCACCCTCTGTACGACCATGTCTACGTTCTTCAAAATTGCCCACGTTAATAGGACCTTGCCGATCTCTACGAACTTGTGGACCAACTCCTGCCGCTGCAACGCTTTGAACGCGTCATCCGGTTTCATGTGCACCAGCTCGATCTCTGAGAATTGCGACCTGCCTTTGAAGAAGTAATAGTCCCGAACGTACGACGACGGGTTGCGTATTTCATCTGAAATGCACGTTTTCAATCACACAAAACGAACAAGGAACGTGAATCGGGATCGTGATTGGTACAAACGTGTTTTATAATCGACGAGGAAGTATTCCCGGTGCTTCGACTCTTCGATGCCGAAGAAGTCCAACGATTCGCGAAGTATTTGGCAGAATTGCGTGTCTTCTTGAACTGGGAATTGCGAGGGAATTCCACCGGCGTCCGGGTCTTGGGGACCGTGAACCACGATCCGTTTTGCTGACGGCACATTCGCGGTTAATAGAATTGAAGCGTCGCACTGCTCCTTTCGTAGTATTTGCTTCAAATCTTTAAACATTATCCCGTGCACGCTGTGAACAACCTTTTTAAAAACACATTAGAAATTGAACCTGGCAGGTAGCTAGCAGAGCTTTCAAATATTGATAATGGGCAATGTATGGGCATTTGACCAACGTCTCGTACACTCCTCTCAAAAGATCGCTCGCCGCGGTCCAATCAGTATTCCTCCTTATAGAAGCCTTTTTATAAATTTTGCTGAAAGTCTTATCGAGTCTCCTCAAAATATTTGTCAATGCAGGTTTCATATCGTCGCTAGACCAATCGCTAGAAGGTAAAATGTCGTTCATGTATCTCTTCAAGCCACGGCAGCCCATCGTGCCCGCATCGTACGGCGATATCTTCAAAAGGCTATGCGCGATATCCGCCAATCTCTATCAATTAATAAAAATAATAGCCGTCACGTTATATTCATAATTCAGTAAGGGAGTAACATGAGATTCACTCACTATGTGACATTTCGAGTCTAACAATTCAATTGTCTTCCCATCTTGGGACTTTTTGTTCAACTCCACCAACCGGACGGAGCAGCGGGCCACGAAGTCGCCTATCATGTTTAATAAAGTATCGCGCGGTCTGCGGAACTCGTTCTTATGAGAGCTTTCGAAATCGTCGTTGTCGTAAAGGTTTCGGGCTCTGCCATGTTCGATATATTTCGTCGGGTGTGTTTCATCCTCGAAATCGAAACCAGGCGAATAAGGACCCTTGCCATAATTCCGTTGGCTGGAACCCTTGTGCTCGGGACTCGATTTTTGTGGCCCGTTGTAATATCTGAGAAAAAAGGAAATCCAGAAACACTCATAATCGAAGGAACCTGTTGCAAATTAATAAACTTACTTCGTGAGTGCCTCGGAATTATTCACCAAGGTTTTCATGGCTACAGCCAATTGATTTATTATTTCTTTTTCTGTTTTCCCCTCTTTGTTGTACGATGGCGATTGTATTCGTTGCACGTAGCAAGGCAGTATCGCTTCTAATATAATCTAATTAAATTAAAAAAATATTATAATCGTTAAGTGAGGATTTAAACTGATCTTCGAATATGAATAAGAATTATCTTACAAGCATTTGTTGACCTCGAACAGAATCAGGTGCGTAAGCGATCACCATTACGCAAAGAGATATGCAGTCCAATACAGTGACCATTTCATTCTCGTCGTGATAACAGAAATCGATAGCCTTCAATGGCTTCTCTTCTTTAACTAATTCGTCTATATTCAAAGGATCCGGTGACGGAGTTTCCAGACTTAGCAATAAATTAAACAGGCACGTAGAGGGTACCTTTAGATAATTGAAATTAATTAAAATTTTATTACTCGATTATTTGAACGTTTCACGTGTGTACCTTATGAGCGTCTCCGTGAAGGCTGGTCTCGTCTGTGTCCAATATAGTAGAAACGCTTCCGAACATTTGTAGAATAAACGGTTTTCGGTTCATGAGGTAAAACTGTTTCACAGCGTATTCGACCGTGGTCGTCACCAATTTATTCGTCTGATGGGTCGAATACAATTGCAACAGCGTCGGCATAATTAGCAGATAGCCGTTCGTTGAGAAGATATTCTTGAAGTTGTGCGCTGCGTTAATATACGTGGCGACGACGTAGCGTAAGATGCAGGAGTCTTCGCTGTGAATAATCACCGCGCCGTTTAAAACGTTTAAGAAGAGATGAATGTCCCCCGAGTAGGCAAAATTCCCGGCCATCGCCTCGAACATACGAGCAATCAGTCTGACCCACATAAACTTGTGCATCACGTCCAAACCAAGCAATTCCTGGGATTAATAAATATTATAGAAAAAAATTTTGAAACTTATTATATTTTAATAGTAATTGTATATTTGAATGTTGCAAACTTTGTACGTGGATTTGGAACGGAATTTTTATCCATTAGCATCGCCGCTTTAAAGACACTTACCCTACCAATTTCACCACCCTTGTATAAATCCAAGTCCGCCTCTAGTGCTCTTCTCGGGAAAGAGGGTAGCTTCATTAGTTCCTCGTGGAGAAAAACCACCCTCTGTACGACCATGTCTACGTTCTTCAAAATTGCCCACGTTAATAGGACCTTGCCGATCTCTACGAACTTGTGGACCAACTCCTGCCGCTGCAACGCTTTGAACGCGTCATCCGGTTTCATGTGCACCAGCTCGATCTCTGAGAATTGCGACCTGCCTTTGAAGAAGTAATAGTCCCGAACGTACGACGACGGGTTGCGTATTTCATCTGAAATGCACGTTTTCAATCACACAAAACGAACAAGGAACGTGAATCGGGATCGTGATTGGTACAAACGTGTTTTATAATCGACGAGGAAGTATTCCCGGTGCTTCGACTCTTCGATGCCGAAGAAGTCCAACGATTCGCGAAGTATTTGGCAGAATTGCGTGTCTTCTTGAACTGGGAATTGCGAGGGAATTCCACCGGCGTCCGGGTCTTGGGGACCGTGAACCACGATCCGTTTTGCTGACGGCACATTCGCGGTTAATAGAATTGAAGCGTCGCACTGCTCCTTTCGTAGTATTTGCTTCAAATCTTTAAACATTATCCCGTGCACGCTGTGAACAACCTTTTTAAAAACACATTAGAAATTGGTGAAAAAATGGAAACGACTTGAAATTGAATTACGTCTGCTGATTACCATCCACAGTATAGATAAAGCAGTCCCAATTAACTTCTGACCTTCCTCGTGCGGCGAACGAGCGTAAAACATGACGTATCCGATTATATAATTATACAGAGCGAAAGCAGCTTGTTGAGGCAGCTTTGGCACGAATCTTATGAGGTGTCGTAAAATTTTAAACATTAATTCTTGTTTCTCTCTGGTGAGTCGTTCCAAAACGTATCGAAGGAACAACGCGCTGTCCTCCACCAAACAATTCCAAATTACCTAATAGCAGAATTGAACATCGTGCAGAGTATGGAGTCGTGTAAATTATGCGAATTACCGAATCGATTGTTTTTACTTGATATGCAATTTCGTAAACGGCGCTCCCGTCATCTGACACTGTGGCGTCGTCAAGTAAATTAATTATTTGAACGATCGCAGAACACAGGGAGGAGGGGAATAAAGAGGGTGCTGACTGGCCGTGATGAGACGTGTTCCTTGCCATAGTTTCACCACCGTCTTCCTCTCCAACATTTCCTAAGGTAGACGGTTGTTAACATTGCAATTCACAAATATTTTTCTTCTTCTAAAATTGTTAACGACGCACCTTCGTCATGATCATCCCCGACAGGACTGGGCTCGTAGGCTGCCTGTACGGTAATCGGTATGGTTGTGATCAGAAAGTTTTCCCTTTCTTCGCGTTTCTTGTCGTCTTGTGCCTGTAAAGCCTTTTTTATGAGTTCAGTTTGTTGCTTCTTACGCGTTTTCGTTGCCGTCACCAGGGACCTCTAAGTAATAGTTGTAGTAAATTCTACTTAATCTACTTGAAAAATTCTAAGTCTAACGACTAACTCTACGGATGCAGAATCAGTTATATCATGCTTACATGGTGCTCCTGGTTGATGGTCACTTCCTCCACCTTCGTTTTCACTTGCGGCATCCACGGTGGGTCGACGACCGGCAGTGACTCTATGCCGATCTTCGGTGACGGTAATGTGAATTCGATTCCTGGCGGGGGAACTTTGAACGTTAGGTGCGCGTTGTCTTCCATACGCGGCCACACCTGGTACCGTAATTTCCATAGAACTTGGAACCTGAGTATTGCATTTATTCGCACGCTCGTGCTGCTGTGCTGGAGGCCGTGGTGCATCAGCTCGCTGGCTTGGTTCGGCGCACGCACGGCTGCGACTATGAAAAGCGAAGCAGCTGAGGCCGCTACTTCTTGGTTCGCCTCTAACAGAAGTTCCCAGGCGACCGGAAGGACGTCCACGAACAGTTCCTCCGTCATTACTACTGCCCCCTTCACCAAAGTAGCCAACGGCGCGTGAAATATATCTTTCACTTGGCTCTTCAGATACTTCAGCATCTCTGAATTCTCTTTGTCAATGCCGTCGGACTTATTCGAAGGTTCTTTCCCTCGTTCAGCGTCCTCGACCAAGTCTTTCGAAGAGTCGCGTTGCGACATTTTTACGGACTGAGTGCCGTCGAGATTCTTGTCAATTCTGTTTAAAAAACGAAACGTCTTTGCATGCAATTACTACGATATGTAATGTACGACTACATCTTTTATAAACTAACTAGAAGCAGTAAGCGAAATTCAGTACGCTACTATACTACTCAAAATAATTATGGTATCATGGAATTTCTGAGGAAATTGAACAAGTTTAGAAAATGATTACTTATCAACAAATTATCGTAGGACGACGAATTTCTATTAAATTAAACATTTAAATCTTTATTACTATCCATAAATTCTTAATTACATACTAACACTTAAGCAACAATGCGTACTTTGATGATAATCTAATCATCTTCCAAATTTGATCAATTTCTAGAATTCTCGTGATGCGATAATTTTTTTTGAGTTTTTTAGTTTATATTTTTCACTAAAAAATTCATCTATTGTCAACAATTACTTGTACTTCTTCCCTACGCTGTCCTTTCTTCGAACGGGCGACACCTGAGTACTAGCCTGTTCCGAGATCTTTCGACTACGTTTCTCCTTCTTGCTCGTCTCTTTCTTATCCGCGTCTAAGTCGAACATGCTCATGCCATTCAAAATTCCGAACTTCTCGCCGTAAATCTTTCTCACGGACTTGATCAGTCTACAACAAGCCCGCATCTGCCGTCGATGACAATACGGGTGACAGAAGTTCTGATGCGAGCAACAGAAGTTGAACGAATTGGAGAACTGAACGAGAACTTTCATCCAAGGGAAATTTCTGTTCGTCTCGTCGGTCTCGTTACTGTCGCTAGGACTCTCCGGCGGCTGGTCGTCGATCAGTATACCCGGCGATTCCTCGCCGCTGACTTCACCGCCGAAACCAGGTTCCGAAGTGTCGCTTCTGTCCGACAGCGAGCTAACTTTTCGTTTAGACTGTATCGAGTCAGCTCGCCTCACAGTATCTATTAATCATCCAAATCGTTCCACAGAAATAATAATTGTTACATGAAATAACGTTAAATCTCTTAAAGAATTACTTGTTTTTAAGAAATCGAATGGCGTGTTGTGGGAAATGGTAAAAATTGAAACTATATTCTTACATCAAACTCTTCCATTGATAAACTTTCTGTACTCCTCGCCTGCTATTTCTGATTTACTTACAAGCCTCGCATTCAGTGTCCTTGCCTTCTTTAGTACCACGGCGAAGCCTCAGACTCCTTTTCTTAAACGACCCGGTTGCATTCTCCGCGGTACCGCGACGCAGCAAGAACGGCCGACCTTGTGGATGTTGTACCCGTTTAGATTTCTCCGCGCATTGAAAATCTTCCCCTTGTATCGTAACAGTTGATTTGCTACTACCTTCTGATTCGTTGTCAGGTTCGTACAGGACAAAACTGATCTTCCGTTCCGCTGTAATTACAATTTAAAACTGATACTACTTGATTCAGCTCGTTTTTTCTGATCATTAAGATTGTATGAGACGTTAAATAAAACCAATGACAAAAAGCATCGAAATTTTAATAGTAAACTGCGAATGTTTATGCAAATTCATATTTTTATAAATAATATTAAAGAAATAAAATACAGATACATTTCTGTTCTCCTGTAAGGCAGAGATCTTATGGTTCATACAACCTTAATTGACGATTTTTTTAATACCCACGGGCCACTTCGCGATCACCGACGATCGATTGAAGGCTCTGGGCCGATGTCTGAGAATGGCCCATCGATGAGAGCGCCATGCTCCATCGTCGGTTCGCTTCCCTGCTGTACATCCTGTCCCAAGGCTGTGGTCGCTCCTTCGTTAGATGCTTGTTGTACTTCGGCAAATTTTTATAAGCTTCCCTCAAGAATGCTGTCACCTCTAGTAGCAAAATGCAAGCAGCGAAACGTAACGCCATGGGACATTGCGACCCGTAGCCATTTATACTTGCTAAAAAACAAAATAGAAACTCGATGTTATAATACAATAAGCCCGATATTATTCAATATAAAAAAATCGATATTGAAATGTTTACCTTCATCGAGGAAGTCTTCTTCTTCGTCTTCTATAATTAACTCTCGTTGCTTGTTTTCATCAGACACCATCGCTGTCACTTGTTCAGCATTTTGTTCGTCCTCATGCATTAATGCTTCCAATCTTGCACCTATAGCCTGGCAAGTAACACGTCGTTCAGTTCAATATTAATTGAAGTCATTATTGAAATCAGTACCTCTGCCCATTGGTAAAACATTTTGCCTGCAGTACGTTGTAACACGTGACACTTGGCAGATACCGTGTTCGCGTTTCTGTTGTTCATGGGACCCGATGTACGAAACAGGGGAATGTTCATCTTCATCCAAATTGGCCATTGTCCTTTATTGCACTGGTGGACGAAGTGGGCGCATTCCAACAGCAAACACGCACGTGCGGCCACCGGTGCGTGAGGCTACGTAAAAATCCGTTCTTCAGATTTCTGAAATATTCACAACGTTTCGAAATAAAATTGATCAATGTATTTTACGAGGTCTAAAATCGCAGCCATTAGGTGGTGATCAGGAACTGAACCCGGCTGACACGTTTCCAACAGAAATGAGAATCGTAGCATTCCTTCGTAAATAGCATTGCGAGGTACCAGCCTCCTTTCTTTCAACACCACGAATTCAGATTCTCTAGAGGCTTCACCGAACTCCATAGAATTCTTTCTACTGAAATCTATAATAATTAATCAATTTTATATTAATGTGTAAATTAGTTTTAAACGTAAATCAGATTATAATGAGATGCTGTCAGCTTACAACTTCCGGGAGCTTCCTCCATGCTCTCCTTCTTCTTACTTTTTCCAAAGCCAATTTTATTCAACTGATCCTCCATCCGACGCTTTGCCTTTTGCAACGTTAAACTCACACTACGCGAACAAATTGTTTGCAGTCATGTTTGAATCTGAATTAATTGAATTGTGGAGATTCACTCACCCACGTCCAGATCTGGATGCGCTACGGTGATGGCCGTAATGGAAACTGGGTTGCCTAACGAAACCCTCCGTTGGCGATTCGCTACTCTCGTGACTGTCAGTGGAATCGGTTCTGCCGTAATCTTTTCGGAACCAATTAACTGAAATTATTAATTATTTAAATTGTATAGTTTGCTTTTCTAAAAGTGTGATTTCCTACCTATTCCGCCAATTTGGAAGCGAGTCGATTTACGAATTTTCCCAGAACTTATGGATTCGATCCCTAAATTGCGTTCGCTCTGCCGCGGGGTCAGAATGTGATGCTTCTTTCTTATATTTCCCAAAGGACTTTGGCTGATCTTCGCGTTCTCCTCGCTCACCTCTGTTTCTATAAGACTCTAAATAAATGCAATATTATTTCGTACATGTAATTGCCAAAACGCGTACATTTCATTTTTTATAAGTACCGCGCAAGTTGATGATGTGCTTCTCTTTTTGAATAGAAATTTCCGAGTTCCCCTGTCGTCTACAGTGAAACACGTGTCGCCTCCAATATCCGCGTGCTCCTCCAAATCTGATTGGTGTATGTGCCTGCAAAAATTGCAACATGTCTCTTCTTTTACGATTTTGTTTCGTATTTATAATAAAATTATATTTCTACGTTTGC